GGAGGCTCCAAATTCCGATGGGTTCTTTCCTAGCTTATACAGATTACAGGGGCATTTGGTGGGGGATGATGTTGTGCAGCTCTATTTACAATTGTTGCGATGTTAATTAGATGTCTTTGGTTAATAAAACCGTCTTTGTTTTAATTCCTAAGGTCAAGTAATCCAAATACATGAAACAGTTTAGACCGATCAACCTGTGTAATGTGATTTATAAGGTTGTATCTAAGGTTCTTGTCAATCGTCTCAAACCTATTATGTCAGCTTGTATCAGTGATAATCAAGCTAGTTTTATTCAGGGTTAACAAATATATAATAATATCCACGTTGCCCACGAACTCCTTCATTACACGAACTCGTCTAAAAACGATTTTAATAAGGGCGTTGCTCTCAAATTGGACATTGAAAAAACTTGTGATAGAGTGGAGTCGGTGTTCCTACGCGAAGTTACGTTGAAGCTTGGAATTACCATTGAGCTCGCTAATTTAATTATGCGATGCGTGACCTCTACCACGTTTTCAGCTAGAGTTAATGGCTCACTAACGAGGGAATTTGTTCCTACTAGAGGGCTCAGCTGCCCAGGTAACGAGACCCTTTATCACCATTCCTATTCCTTTTTGTCACTCAAGGGCTATCGGTAATGTTCCACAAGGTGCAACAAAAACGAGTTAATTAAATGAATTCGGGCATCTTGGGCGGGTCCTCGAGTCTCTCGTTTACTGTTTGCTGATGTTAATTTGATTTTTTGAAAAATTCTATGACTGAAGCAACCAACATTAAAGAGATTCTTACTATTTATGCTACTTCATCTGGACAATGAATTAAGTTGGACAAATCGATGTTATTTTCAGTCCAAACACAATTACTGGTCATCATGCCAAATGACGGATATCTTTAAGATTCGAGAGGTGGATTCCCTGAGACATTATCTTGGCCTCACGTTATATACATTTTATCATCACTTGATGAGTTCAAACAACCGTTATTTAAACTATTGAAATTTATATATAATTAATGAATAATGCATTACACTTTAGTCTTTAATTATACTTCATTATAATTTAAATTAGAGTAAACTATACCATTGACCACCCAATTATAGATTTAAATTAGAGTAAACTATACCAGTGACCACCCAACTATATTCCATTTTCATTTTAACCACCAATTTTGAATTCTTGTCAATCAGGCCACCCAATTATTTAAATGCATTCAATCAAGTCACTAGTCTTTAACAATTAACAGAAGTGATGACGTAGTGGTTATAAAATTGGTAAAAATACACATTTAGTCACTGTTACTTATATATTCTATTAATTTGGTCTTAATTTTAATAAATTAAATAAATTTAATATTCGAATTAGATTGTGCCACGTGTCAATATTCGATTAGAGGGTTTACTTTATTTTAATAATTTTACTTTGCACCAATCAAAATATGACACTTGTCACCCTTTGGTGGAAAGAAAATTAAAGAAGAATGGGGCCCAGAGCAAGGGAATCGAACTTGAATCTTTTAAGTGGGATAGCCATTGTTTTGAAAATCGGACCGGACCGGTCAGTTCAACCGATTTAACCGGGAATCGTTACCTAGTCCGATTCAAACTAAACCGGTTGAACTGCTACTAGTGAACCGGCCAGAACCGTTGAACCGTTTGAACTGGACCAACTGAAAACCGGGAAAAACCACCAATTTTGTTTTTTTTTTTAAATTAAACCAAACGACGTCGTTTGTTAAACGAGCCAAGTCGAACTCGAGTATTGCTGAGCTCGACTCAAACTTTAAAAGTAAGCTCAACTCGACTCAAACTCACGAACTAAAAATTATCAAGTTCAACTTGAACTCGAAATATAATATTGAAACTTGAACTCGAAAAGGCTTGAACTCAAAAAAAATTTAGAAGCTCGATTGAAGCCTAAAATTCGAGCTTGATTGAAGTGAAAGAATAGTTCACTCTATGCTCACCAAAAGGCTCCATAATTTTGAATGTCAAATTACCTCTATTATTTATAGAAGTTAGTTGGGATACTCTTCTATGTTTCTTAGCCATGTGGGATTGTTTTGTTCTCATATTTTTACTCTTTAGACTTTTGGGATGTTCTTCTATGTTTTTTAGCCATGTGAGATTGTTTTTTTAAAAAAAAAAATTAAACCAAACAATATCATTTTGTTATGATTTTTTTAGCCCCAAATTTATTTTTTAATTATAGTTATATAATTATATTTATTATTTAATATGTTTTACCTTAAATATTATGTTGTAGTTAATTTGAATCATTTTGTTTCACTTGATTTTATAGTTTTTAACTTATATATGTTATGACTTGCTTTGAATATGACTTGTGATATACAAAATTATTTTTTATTAAATATTTTTGATATTTTTATTTAATTTTTTAAATAATTATGACGTCGTCCGGTTCTTTCGACCGGTTAAACTAGTGAACCGGTAGCATGACCGGTTCGCTAACCGGTCCGGTTTTGAAAACCATGGGGATAGCAGTTTAACCACTGAACCAAGCAAAATCTTTAGATTAAAACTCACTACAAATGCTATACATACTGAATACTAGTTTAACCTTAAAATTTTATTATTTTATATATTAAATTAACATCTAAACATTAAAAATATATTTTTATTATTACTCTTAACTTTAAAATATATTTTATTCTTATTTTAATTAAAAATATATTTTCTATATCTTAAAAATAGATTAAATAATTTAAAATAAAAATATTCTATCAAAAATATATTTTATTTTTATTTTACCTTAAAATATATTTTAATCTTATCATAACTTAAAAATATATTTTATTTTTATCTTCGCTTTTAAAAACATGGCTTATTTTTATTTTGATTTTTTACATATATTATATTCTTAACTTAAATTATTAAATATATTCTAGTCTTACCTTAAATTATTAAATATAATTTATCCTTATTTTAACATAAAATATATATTTTATTCTTATTTTTAACTTAATATGTATATTTTATTTTTATTTTTATTTAAAAATATTTATCTTAATTTTTTAATTTTAAAAATACATTTTGTATCTTAATTTTAAAATATTATTAGAATAAAATATAAATATTTAAGTTAAGGTAAGAATAAATTATTTTTTAAAGTTAATAAAAATTAAAATATATTTTTAAGTTAAAATAAGAATAAAATATATTTTAAAGTTAGGATAAGAATAAAATATATAATTTTAATGTTTAGATGTTAATTTAATTAATATGCTTAATTTAAGATATATAAAAAAAAATCAATGTTAGTGTATTTTATTCTAAGGGTTTGCTTGGTTTAGTGGTTAAACTATTGATATCCCACCTAAAATTCAATTCCCTTGCTCATCCATTTCAACTTCGTTAATTTTTTTTTAGATTGAATCATACCTTATCCATAACTCTATCTCTAAGGCATTTGAATTCAAATAAAATATTATGCCTAATTAAATATTTATTTCCTTAATTATTGGATAATATTATCCTTTCTGGAACCTTCTAAGGAACGGGTCATATCTGATGGTTCTAGGCAAGCCTAATACTCCATAGGATTATCCTACAGAAATCCACACACACATTTCGGTCCAAATCCACGAGCCTTGATAAAATTATTCCCATCAAACACGTAACACCCTCGTCGTTTCTCTCGGATGCCTCAGACTTAATATTTCATGGACTCGTAAGCATTCTCCAAGAATTGGGCCAACTCATCATGCCCAAACAAGCCCAAGTCTACGCACATAGAATCCATCTTGTGAACATTTACGCCAATATCTATGGACCCAAAAGTTATTAAATAAAAATAAAGTAAATCCCCCAATCGATTGGTGATACATGTCATGATCTGATTCGAAGATTAAATTTATTTAATTTGTTAAAATTAGGACCAAATTAATAGAATATATAAGTAATAGTGATGAAATGCGTAATTTTACCAATTTTACTAACTGCCTTGTCACCACTTCGGTTAACGATTAGTGGCTCGATTGAGTGCATTTAAATAGTTGGGTGGTCTGATTGACAAAAATTCAAAAAATGGTGATCAAAATGAAAAGGGGCTATAATTGGGTGGTCATTGGTATAGTTTACCCTTTAAACTATTATTTTTATTATATTATAATTAAACATAAATTTAGATAAATATTAAATTATAGTTTATATGCATCTTGAATTATAATTTTACTATAGTTTAAATTGTTCAAATTTACAAATGAACAACATCTTAGTTTTTTGAACTTATTTCTTACTCAAACATTAGAAAATATTATTATTATTAATATTACTACTATTATTATTACTATTATATTAAAAATAAAATTTTAAATTTATAAAATTTGAGAAATATTAAACTATATTTAATATGTTTTAAATTACACTTTTATTATGATTCGTAAATCATATGTTGAAATAATGTTTGTTTATATTAATTAAATGAAATAAATTGTATAATAACTATATAATAAATGCGAAATATTTGAATTTATTAATTTTAATAAATAACTAAATACTAAAAGATAAATATTCATTTAAAATTTTTTTAATAATTGTTTTCTTTAAAAGAAATTGGTGGATTAGATAAGCTTTCCTTGTTTTATTTTATATTTAAAGAGGGAGAATTTATCGTTGGTGGTTGCGGTTATTTCTCACTCGCTAATTAGTACCCGCTGCCTGTTCCCTCTTTCGCTTTATCCCACTTAATTGTCTTCTCTCTCCCTCTCTCCCTCCCTCTCTCTCTCTCTCTCTCTCCCTCCCTCTCTCTCTCTCTCTCCCTCCCTCCTCCCTCTCTCTCTCTCTCTCCCTCTCCCTCCCTCCCTCCCTCCCTCCCTCCCTCCCTCCCTCCCTCTCTCTCTCTCTCTCCCTCTCTATTTCTCTCTCTTCATTCTCCTTTGTTCCACTATCCCTCGAACTGCCCTTTTTCTCTTGTTTTCCTTTCACATTCTTTGCTTTCAATTCTTAGCCTTTGTCCCTTTCTGAGTGGATCTTGACCATGGATTTTTATTAGCTTCGCCATTGATCCTCCGAAGAAAGTTTGCACTAATGGGTAGTTTATGGTGTGAATTATAGGATCTCTCTCAATTCCTTCATTTATTATTTTGAAAAATTTATTAGAAAGGTTGTTGCTTTGTCAAGTTATTGATTTTAGAATTGAAGTTTTAATTCGGTTTTTTTATTATTTGCTTTCTGATTTGGATAAAAGCCAAATTTGAGATTCCTTTTTTTCATTCGTTTTCTATCGATCACGAAATTCTTTTCCTTCCTTTGCAAATTAGAAAGCTTTAGACGCCAAACCTTGTTTAGTTTCTGTCTTTTGGCTGATTCTGAGATTTTTTGTTTTTACTGGAACCACTTTGTGAGATTGAAATTTTGGATTGGTGTGATGATTAGATTGAAACTGGTAAAGGTTATCTGGCAATTTTGACATTAGATCATCATTGTAGAGATTTGAAGTGAAAAACTCAAAAGGGTTGCTTTAAGATTAGAATTCTAGGAGATTGAAGAGCAAATCAAGGTAACTTCAATCTGTGAATTGGACTTATAGCTCTGAATTGGGAAGCAAAGTTTTGGAATATAAAATTGAAAGGATTATTTGGTAGATCAATCAAAATATTAGCCAGAAAAGGGTTTGTTTAAGGATCCAACTCAACAATAACGACGGATCCATCAAAAGACACAAGGGGTTGTTATTGTTTTACTGGTCTGGAGTGCATAGTAAGCATTATCAGGGCCCTCAGAATGGGGTCCTGCTTATCTGCTGAAAGCAGGAGCCCTCTCCCTGGTTCGCCTTTGTCCCCTCATTTGGCGAATATGAAGAGGAGGAACTCGAGGAAGAGGCTCGGTTCTCGGAGTTCTTCATTTGACTACCGGAAGGACGAACCATTGCATAGGATTCCGGGGAGGTTGTTCTTGAATGGATCCAGTGATGTTGCTTCACTCTATACTCAACAGGGAAAGAAAGGAACCAACCAGGATGCCATGATTGTTTGGGAGGTGAGCTCTTTTTATCCATTTTTCTCATGTTAATTTACTTTGTTTGTTCGTTATATTCTTGTTACAATCAAACAATGGCCATTTAATATATTTAACTTCATGTTTTATGTTTTCTTGTATAGCTTTGAGCCTTTTTTTTAAATAAGAACAGGAGGTCTCATTAAAAACCCCGTTTTGACTTCTCGGCCCACCCGAAGGTAGCCAAAATGTAGCGGAAGGGGGAAAAGAGTACCTCAATTTTATTCAATAATCCAGAACCTTTATACAGAGTTCGATAAAAACAGGAGGTTTCAAACCAGAATTAAACAATTCGAAAAACTAGCAAAACATTCCTAAAAGCGTCTCATGGACAAACAACCTCTTAGCAAAACAGTTCCTAAAAGAGTGGTAGAAATTGCAATCCCACTACCCAATTCCTTGCTTAGCTAGCCCATCAGCATTGGAATTAGCACACCGACTGACATGACGAAGAATAACAGCACGAGCCTTAACAATCAAGTCCATTTCCCGAACAAGATGTATAAAAGGGCCAGGACATAGATACTAAGCTGATACTTCAGCAGCTACTCAAATCAAAGAAGTGCTGAAGCATAATACCACCTCACTAATAACCATCAGATGAAGAATCTCATAAATATATGTAGAGTACCATGAAAATATAAGAGGCATTCAGAGCTTTTAGTAATGCATCGTGGTCACCAAGCAGCAAAGTGTATGATGAGGTAGACACATCATATTATTGGATTTAAAGGATAGATAGCTTTGAGCCTTTGAAAGCAAACAATTTATATTCATTATGCTTCTCCATATTTAATCCAACCATATTTATATCTAGGGGCATATGTGTTTGTTTGACACCTTGGAAATCGTTTTATGATACCATCTTTTTTGTTTTGAGACGAAAATGTCACAAGAGTGTGAGGAAGACCGCAAAGGTTATGGTTACAAAGTGTAAATTATTACATTTTTTTTCGAACTTATTGATGATATGGTTCTAAATAGGACATAATGGTCAAATATTATCCATGTAGCTGATCTTACATGGGGGAACGCCGATGAAGGTAATCCTTGTGGACTAGTTAATAAAAATGGTTCATTATCTTTGCCTATGGATAAATATTTGTTGGTGAAGAAGGCGTAGATGTTAAATCCATTTTTATTCCTGGAACATTTGTTCTCTATTTTGATTATAAGGGGTACTGTAATGATATATCTGTAAAGCAAATCACCGATTTATCCGGGTACCAAAGATTGTTACTAATGTAGTTCTTTTGTGCCATTGTCCCCTTTCTCATTATCAATGTCATTTCCCAGAATTTTGTTCAAGAACAGATACGGTATTTGTGGTGTTTTTGATGGCCATGGTCCGTACGGTCATTTGGTTGCAAAGAGAGTGAGAGACCGTCTTCCCTTAAAACTGAGTGCTCACTGGGATGTTAATATATCCAACGCGGATGCTTTCGGTTCGAATGCTGCAGGAAGCACGAAATCTGAAGATATGGATCTTTTGTCAGTTGATGAAGAATCTATGGCTTCTGAAGATATTAAAGGAACAGAAAAGTACCCAGATATCTTTGAGACGCTTAGAGAGTGTTTTCTCAAGGCTTACAAAGTGATGGACCGCGAACTTAGGATGCATCCGAGTATTGATTGCTTCTGCAGTGGGACAACAGCTGTAACTTTGGTCAAGCAGGTATACAGCAGCAATTTTATAAGCTTTATTTGAAATTTTATGTTATGAACTTATTATATATTTTGTAGTTAATCATAATTGTCTCGGCTCATTTTATAGGGTTCGTACCTTGTCATTGGAAATATTGGGGACTCGAGAGCTGTGCTGGGTACAAGGAACAAAGATGATTCACTTACAGCAGTTCAGTTAACTGTTGATCTTAAACCGAATCTTCCAGGTGACTTTTTAGTCATACACAAGTGCATGCGTATCAGAAACTGCAGTATTAAGTCTAGTCCTAATTGGTTTTCACTACGATGGATTTGTGAAATTTAGATGAAGTTGATTTTGCAGTCAATGGGTAATACGCTTTAGGTACTTATTGTACTTTCTAATATTGAGCCCATGCTAAACACTATTCCCCCCTTTTACAGCGGAAGCAGAGAGAATCCGAAGGTGTAAAGGTCGTGTATTCGCTCTTGCGGATGAACCTGAGGTGACCCGAGTTTGGCTACCGAACAACGATTCACCTGGCCTTGCTATGGCACGGGCTTTTGGAGATTTCTTCCTGAAGGATTTTGGCCTGATCTCTGTGCCTGAAGTATCTTATCGGCACCTGTCGGAGAAAGATGAATTCGTTGTCTTGGCCACAGACGGGGTAATAGAGCCAACATGAATTCTTATTCGAAATATCAAACGGCATTTGAACCTTGTCTCCTTTTCTTAGGCTGGCGTCAATGTTTTGCAGATATGGGATGTTCTTTCAAATAAAGAAGTGGTGGACATTATTGCATCAGCCCCAGGTCGTTCATCTGCGGCTCGAGCATTGGTTGAGGTAGCAGTCCGAGCTTGGAGATATAAATACCCAACTTCAAAAGTTGATGATTGTGCTGTTGTTTGCCTCTTCCTTGATTCAAATTTGAACAATTTGTCGGTTGCATCTAATGCCAAGACCAAAGTGCAGCCAACTTTGGAGAACCAAGTTGAGAACGACATTGATGATGACGAGGAGGAGAAAGAAAATCCCGATGTATTGACCCCTCTCATTCATTCCGGGACGGTTGAAGAAACACTTGTTGATGACAATGAAGATAGCTCAAAGCACGAGGAAATGAATTCGGATGGAGGAATGGATTGGTCTGCCCTGGAAGGAGTGTCTCGTGTCAATACGCTTTTGAATCTCCCGAGGTTTGTTCCGGAAAAGGAGGACAAGGAGGGTTTTCTCAAGTAAGTAAGGTCTGCTTGCCTTCCACCCCCATTTTGTAAGTTTGAATGCATGTTGCATTGGTAGAATTGGAAATTTTGTAAATCCAGCTCTATCTTTATTTTTAATTCCTTTGGACTGTGGATTATTATAGCTATTTCTATTTGCAACAGAAGATGCTATTTTTCTGAAGTTGTATCTTTCTTGATTGAAAGAATGTGACTGTTATTTTTATCTGCAACAAAGTTTTAGGCTCCAACTTGTTTATTTCATTGATTGTTATAAAAAGAAATGTTCTTTTTTTGGTTGACAAAGAAATGATATCATCAATCTCATATAGGTTGCTCATCCAACCATCCGCTATAGAAGTCCAATGCTTCCAATGGTTTGTATTCTGGGACTGTATGCCCTGGCCCCTGCACACTCACTTCATACCTTATCATTATAGAACTTCCCAATCCGTTGTTAGAGAACACAGAGATTGAATGTGTCAAACTTTGATGGTTAGAAAGGTAAGGTCATGGTCATAACCTTGCAAGTACCTGCAAGGTAAATAAGCCAAATTAACAATACAAACTAAAAGAAAAAGAATCTTTCTTAGCCGTTAAGTATGCCCACAAACTCTGCTCTGTAGACGTAACTACTCATACATGAATGTTCTAGGAAGAAGAACATTTTCTTTTACCATTGTGAGATCCATTTGCTATCATTGATTAAATTGTTGACTACTTGATGACAAAAGGGCAAAGTAACCGTGATTCTGTAATCTATAGTTGTCTGAGAGAGAAATTTACCCAGAAACCTGGTCATTAGAGGTCCATGATCTCCATGGACTCACGGTCTTGTATCCTAGTGACTTGGTCCAGGCTTGGGTACCAGTGTAAGGCTCACACATATCATGGTCTCCACTGCAAGTGAATCATTAAAATTAAGACGCAAAGAAGGAAAAGAAAAATGAGCTCTTAAACATTGAGTTGCCTGTAAATAAGTGATTGATAGCCTCCGGTTGTTAGGTTTTTATGGTACGGGATCATACTCCTGACATCATGATAATAGAGATTCTATCTGTACATAACACCCAAGGCCCTGCTATGTTTTCCTGCAGTGAATTATCGACGGTAAAATGAGTCGGAATTGCAAAATAAGGATCGTAAACTCGTATTTCAACTGATGGACTCAAAGTGAGGCAGATGTTTACTGTCTCAGCATGAGTAGCCTTCCTAACTGCTGCATCATTTAGCCATCTGGTTGCGACTTCGTTGTTCTGCCAATACAAAACAATGTATGACTATGCGCCAAGAATGATAATCTGTCATCAAATTTCAAAGGAATGAATGAGAAAAAAGAACTTACAATACAGGTACACTGTTTTTAATGTTCTGTGCTAATTGTGGCCAAGGGACAATTCCATCCTTAACCGATGCCCTAAACAGACAAGCACGACCGAACATCCGAGTTCTAACTGCTAGTGGTCTCGGCGTAGCCCCTAATTTCCGGAAGCTATCAGGCAAGCTCGTGTTTCCTTTCGAGCCTTGTAGCGAAGTTGGATAATGGTAGCAGGGTTCCAGGATGTCATAAATATTTAGTCCGGCAAGCGCCCGATAAGTTCTCTCATACATTAGTTCAAGTGATCAAGTAACACTTTTGGGAAAAAATATTACAAATCAAAATTGGTCTATATTTCTAACCACGTAAACATATGATAGTTTTTCAGCGCACGCCGCTGTAGAAGAGTTAGTAAAGTCTGCCCCACAAGACGCTACAACTACCTGCAATATTTATTCTGATTCATCTCATCATTGTCTAATTTAGTACAAGATTTGATAATAGCCGTCATAACTATACACCATTACTAAACCGGATATCTATGATACGCCGTTAACTAAAACATAATGGTATTTAATTCGATATACTGTTAGTACATCAAATATGGACTCGTGTTTCGATTTGTAAGTACCTCAAAAATGTCATCTGAAATCAGGGCCATCCCATGAGCAAAGGTGACAAAGGAATTGCCATCAAAAACAGGGTCAGTCACCCCATTTCCCACCATGTATCCCTGGATTTACAAATTCCTCAATTCTAAAGCTTTTTGTTCCACAACTTGTAACTTGCTAGATAATGCAATATCATACCTTGAAATTGATTTTGGGCTTTGCACCATCTTTTATCCCTAAAACCAGAAGGTAAATCATAGTCATACTAATAAAGCTCCAATACTGCCTAACATGGAAATCTCTAGTGAATAATACATTATGATCAGCCAAAAATAAGGTTACCCTTCACCACTTGAGAAGCAAGAGTGGACACATAAATTCCCGCATACGACTCTCCGGCGATATAGAACGGATTGCTAACAAACTCTGGATACAAATCAAACCATTACACAGAAAATCAGTTCTCGGGTTTGTAATCACCATTTTTTACTCGATCACTTTATTATTATTATTATTATTACAAATAAATAAAATAATATTATTAAATATTTATTTACAAAAACCAAATCCAAAACCAAAATCAGCCCAGCAACCCGGGCCCAAACCAAACACCAAGCCCACAACCTAAATAAACCCTAGCCAACCTTAATCCTAATCCTATCAGCCATTGCCGTTAGCCACTCATGTCGCCACTGCCCGTCGTGGATGATGCACCTATCGCTTTCACTGCTCCACCATCATCACCTCCCCTGTTTCAAAGAAAAAATAAATCAAATAATATATATATATATATATATATATATATATCAATCAATCAATTTAAAACTAACTCTCATGCCTCTTCCAGCAACTTTCACCAATCAAACACCCCTCTGTCAAACCCATGCCTCTGCCATCTCAACCTCACCAACTGAGCCATCTATCACCATTAAAAAGGGAGGAAAACAGCAACACACAAAAAAAAAACAGTAGATTCGAGAGTTAAAAAATAAAATGATTCGAAAAAATAGGAAAGGGTTTTGGGTAGATCCGAAAAGAAAAGAAAAAGTAAAGAGGAGATTTGAAAGATTAAAAAAACAAGAAACTAAACGCAAAACTGAAATAAAAGAGAAAAGAAAGGGGTTTTATTGCTGGCGTTCGGAGTCACCATCGTCGAATTCGAACGGTGAGGAGAAGCATATTAAGGAGGGGAGCGACATACTTCAAGATCGGGTTGATCCAATAGTGGAGAAGGTAGATCGGAGCACCGAAAGCCGAAGAGTTTCACCCTATTTCACGGCGTTGGTGGTCGTTTCATGCAAAACCGATCCTCAATCTATATTCAGGGCATCAAGATGAGCATCCAATGTGTTTTGGGCTCGAACGATCACCAGAGACGGCGACCGGCGCGGCAGTCGACGACAACGCTCATCGTCGATTTCTGGAGAAGTATAGAGAGAAGTGATAGCATTTGAGAAGTAATACAGAGAGTGGGGAAGCAAAAAAGAAAAAAAAAGGAAAAAGGGATTAAGATCAATCGAACGATGTCGTTTCAGTCTCTCTCTTGTGCATTTTGGACCCGAACAGTCTAACCCTCTCCGCAATCCTTGCAACTCATCCAATTTACAATTTAGTCACCCATTTCATTATATTTCATTAATTTTAATTTAATTTTCCTTACTTTTATATTTTCCCTTTTTATTTCTCAAATATTAATATTTGGTTTATTTACTTTCAGGATCGCCAAGGTTATTCTTGTTTTTACAAAATGGTCACCCATCTGTCCTTTTTTTATTTTAATTGGATTTTCATGTCCTTATGTTGTTATTTTTCCTTTTTTATTTATTTTTATCCATAATTAAATTCATGATTTATTCGTGTTGTATCCCTTGTACTTTTGCACCATAGTTCTTGATCTTAAACTTGTTTATTTTATTTTAAATGTTGGTGCCCTAATTGCATAATTTTTTCTTTTTTTGTTTATTTTCCTTTTATGTTTATTGTTTAGTTTGTTAGGTTTAAAAATGTAAAAGTGTGTTTTGGTCCCTCTTATTTAGGCATGCTTTTATATTCTAGTCACTATTGTAATTCTGATTTTTTTCATACTTAATTTTAGCTATTTTTTATTTAGTCACTAATTTAAGATTATTGTTTTTTTGTTTATTTGGCTATTGAATTTGTTTTCGTTGCATGTTTTTATCCTTCATGAATTTGATATTTGACTTTATTTCATATCAATTTAGTCACTAATATTTATTTTGAATGCGAGACTTTAATTATTGTTAATTTACATCTTAATGGGTGATTTGATTTTTTTATTTTATTTTCACATTTTCTAATTAATCCTTTAATTTATTATTTATCCATTTTTTGCAATTTTCTCAATTTATATATCTTATTTCATTTTAATTTAATCCTTTAAATTTGTAGATTGAACCTTTATATTTAGGTTTCTCTTAATTTAGTCATTAATTAGAACTTTATATTTCATTTTTAGCGCTTTAGATCTAGATTCTTTTCACTTTAGCCCTTTGACTTTTAATTAGGTTTTCTATTAACATAATTAATTAGGTTTTTAATTAGAGCCTCCACATTAGGTTATATTTCACTCCAGTCTTTTAAATTTAGGGAGTAATCAGAGTTGGTCCTCACCTTCATGCTCAAGGGGCCATCTCGATTATTCGATCCAATAACTGGTTTAAATCAAATAGGATTAATATTAGACCCTCCATCTTAGGCCTAATTTCATATTTAGTCCTTAAATTAGGAAATTTTTAATTTGATCCTCATTTTTGCTTGAGGTTCCAATTTAATTACTTGAATTGCATAATTGATTTAAATCGAATAGGGAAATGTTTAGAGCCTCCATTTGAGGTTTAATTTAAACTTAGTCCTTTAATATAAGAGAATTTTGGATTTGGTCTTCGCTTATGCTTGAGGTTTCATTTTAATTGCTCAATTCAATGATTTACCAAAAAATGATTAGGATTAATATTAGAGCCTACACTTTTTAGGTTTAATCCCCTAGATTATTTAAATATCATAATTTGACATTTTAGGTTAGGAGAAGCCTTAATTAACTCACCTAGCATAATTAGGTATAATAAAAGGTTGCTTGATTGCATTTGGATTTAAAATAGTAAGGCAATGTTGATTTACAAAAGGAATTAATAGAGGTTATGCTCAGGGGATGACTATTGGTGACTCCCGAAGTA